ATTGATACATCTATTAGTGATATTTTTGCTAGTAGTGTTAAGAGACCGATAGAGAAAGGTATATTACTTGTTGATAATGAAAAAAATTCAGATTGTATCGGCCAACATATTATGCCCTATCAAGAGGCCGATGACAATATTTTGTCAAAGTTAAAGCTTTCCACAATGTTTACCTTGGATTCTATATTTATGTGGGTTGCTTTACTTGTTTTAAATTCAGTTCATACTTGGTCCCAAATGAGATACATATTCTGTAATTATTTTGGGTTTAATGATTCGGAACCAAGATTGACAAATATTGCAGAAGTCGATGTTGGTTTTATGAGCAATCTTGAAACATCTGGCAGGAAACTCAATTGCAATGGTGTGGCCGAATGAATCAATGTCAAATCTGATCCATTCGTTTGCCTAGCTTTAAAGCCGACTGCACAAAAGAGTTGACTAAAGAAATCAAAGTACATCTTTAACTTTACTTGTTGTGATCATATTTTTGATATTTTGCTAAAGAATAATTTTATTAGAATCATTGATCACAAAGCTTTGCCATCAACTAAAAACTTAGAAGAGCTTACATATTGCAAGTGGCATAATTCATTTGATCATAATACTTCTAGTTGCAATATATTTTGTCAAGTGATCCAATCAGCCAGTAATATACGACGATTGAGATTTCCTTAAGCTTAACAAAATGACCAATTAATTCAATTGGTCTTGATGGCAAACAAACTTTGAACCGGCTAACAGCAGCCGATTCATCTGAAGCTACAAGCTTGAATGCCAAAAACAGAGATTTGAACCCCTCATGTGAAGACAAGATCGTTGTCCATGAATTACAAACTGGGGATATTCTAGAAGACAACAAGTTTGTTACAATTCTAGAAGATACGGGGGCAGGCAAAATCTCTCCAGTTGAAGCAAAGGCTAATTAATCCCATTGAGCATGGAAAATCAGCTAAGCCGGCTCTTAAAATCGGCATGTTCGGTTCTGGCCAGGAAAATACTCATGCTGCCCAAACTGCTCAATTCATTCAAAGAAGGTGGATTATCAATCATTATAGATTGAGCTATCACAATCTACATGTGACCGATTGAGCTCTTGCCAACCAAGTTTGGAGGAGCAGCAGCACTAGCTAAGCCAATTTCTGGAAATGGGTTAAGCCAGCTTCCCCAGAATCAGAAGGATCCTCCTGTGGTGCATGTCTGTCAAGAGTCAAGACGAGGATAGAAAAGGAGGATGTCCATAGAGCTGATGGAGGTAAAGGCCATGACAAGTACAAGAAAAAAGGTTGAAGATCAGTTTCGATGAACTTCTGGCTAAATAAAGAAAGAAGCAGAAGCAAATGTCATTAATTGTCCAAGAAAGGTCCAATCATCAAAATTTCCTCCAAAGCACAAGTCTCAATAGTGGAATTGGCAAGGGTATAGATCTCACGCAGCAGCAACATGCTTTCCTTTTGAGCAGCCAATTCTCTTATGTCATATGTATCACAACCCATAGGTTTTCATCATCTTGGGGCTGGTTTGATCAAGAAGCACATGTTCCACCACATTTTAGGCCACGTTACATAGAGTATGTAGCTCCTAGACATTCAGAGAGATCATCATACTGCAAAGACCGTTGTGATCAAAATCATACTAGAGCTCAACCTAAGAAGAAAGTGGTAAAACAGGTTTGCCATGTGAAGAATGATGGCCATAAAGACAAAAGTTTAGACCTGAATTCAATTAATGAAATGTCAATTACACTATTGAAAAATTCGGCTATTGATGGCAAAGAAGTAGGAAAATTGTCTATTCATATTCAAGATGCCAAAGCATAACAAAAGAAGGTGAGAGTGCCCAAAAACATGAAAGATCTACCGCTCTCCAAACAAAAATAAAGCCGAGATGCTCACTCGATTTATCAAAGTGGCAAGACAATAAGTTGTAGAAACAATGAAACATAGTACAGAGAAGTTGAAAGAAAAGGGCTTGGTATGGGTTCCTAAAAGGAGTACGTGTTCAAGTTCAGAAGAATGATGCTCAAGTGAAAGGTGCAACAAAGGTAGAGGAAAGGAGAAGATTCGAGAAACGATTGCCAAGTTGGAGGTTTGCACCCAGTCGTCAAAATTATTGGTCATGCCATCATGCATGTTCTCCACCTATGCCTATGTCATGAAATTTATCCCCGTGTATGCATGGTTATCCCTTAGCTCCTTATTTTGATCCTTGGTATGGGTCTTTATATTACGGAGGGTTGCCAAATTATTTTGCTTATCAATGACTTTCTATTTCAAGAGCCAAAATATTATATTTTGGCTATGCATACTCTTGTGGATGAATTCATATGGCCAATATTTTTCTATCGCCCTTAGCGTAAATATATAGCCGATGAATGCTTGCAACCATCGAGCTATGAGGAGATCCTCCATAAAACTTACTTTGATGGCTTCAAGGCCTGGTGGGCATGATATATGTGTTTTGGATTTACTCATGGATGTGACAATATGGTTAATCGGCTTGCAAAGAAGGCTAAGGTGTTAGTACAATCAATATTTGTCACAATGATGTTGTTTGAGATGTCACGCCAATTAAATTACATTTGCATCAATGTTTGAGCCAAATGTGAAGTTTTCTTATTCAACTTGTGAGAATATTTGCAATCCATGGAGGTGAAATAGGTTATAGCATATGCTAATTCTTTTGGAACAACAAGTCGCTGGTACATTCTAATGCATATCTTGATAGATGCCTTGACATTATTGCATATTTTGCTGAATTCTAAATTCAACATATTCCAAGGCATAAGAACAATAAGGCTACCATGTTGGCTCAACAAGCAAAGGCTTCGACATCAGAGAGCATAATTTTCATATCAAAGAGAAGCCTAAGTGATGCCCTAGCAATGGCCGATATAAACGTATCGCCCCTAGAACAACATGGCCGATGTATACATTGCCCTTAGGTCTCGAATAGCCGATGACTCGGACATTGTTGTTGTTTGGTGCTTTATGTTTTAGATTCGCATAAACCTCACAAAAAAATAGGGGGACATATGTTGGCACTCAAATTGGACCCATGCCAATTTTAAGAGGCACATGCTAGTTTTGACCCAATCTAAGAAAAACTATATAAAGGGACATAATAATAGTACCACATTGGTTTTCCAATGGATAAGACCACCCCTACTCATAAAATAGGAGGTACATGGCCGATTGAGGTATCCAACACACAATGATCAAAAGTACATTTATTACACTTTTTTCCCTTAATCCTTCTTTCCATCCACATTTTGTTGTTCATCTCTTGATCCGACGATCAAGGATGATGCCCTAGGCTTGTCGGCCGACCTAGGGCAACCCGCTGATGTCCTTCCCCCGATGGGGTCCCTCCCAGGCGAGAGCTTTGATGGTTCCCTTACTAGTTTGCATGAAACTAGTCGTTCTTCATCACGCAAGCACGATTGGTTATCGTTTGCTAGTTTGCCCGTAAACTAGTTGTTCTTCATCACAAAAGCGCGATTGGTTATCCTTTGGTGGTTTGCTCGTAAACCTCGCCAATCTTCACCACAAAAGAGTGATAGTTATCCGCTGCATTCTTCGGTCCGTGGCGACCCAGATGATCTAGGTCTAGCTAGTGTGTGACCGATCTTTGCGTCAACACAATGTAATAATGGGTAAACACCACGCTTTACAACTATAAACAGGTATTCGTGATGTATGAGACTGATATTAGCTGACCAATGCAAATGTGATAGCATGGTCTTCTAAGGACTATCACATTGTATTCGTAATCTATAGATTTCCCTTCGAGGAAATCGAGGTTCGTTTGAAGCAGCCTGACCTTAAGATATATGTGTTTTTAGAGCCACTACTGGAAGACGTGAAGAAACTTTAGGAAGATATGGGACAAGTACCGAAGGCAGATATTCATGTTAAGAGTCATCATCTTCGTTACCATCAATGATTACCCCAGTTTGTTTTCGCTGTCAGCCAGATCAAATGGGAGACTGATGTGTCGTATGCTTAGGACATGCTTTGTTCGCCTTGACATATCTACAAAGATGGTATACAGGACAATTTCTAGTTAAAAGACACAGGTACCAGTCCAGTTAGTGGTGATATATCACAGGCAGATGGTGATTTATCTTGTCCATATTTTTTTTTGTTTCTCCTCTTTACTTACTGATTCCTTGTCCTCATGAGATCCGAGGTCCAACGCAGATGGTCTCTTATCTATCTCTAGCAAGCACCGTGTTCCAACACAGAGACATAGGTACCAGTCCACTTTGTTCCGTGATCTAAAAAAAAGCACTGTGTGTCCCATAGCACAGACAATTTTGTCAAAACTTTAACTTCCATCTTTGGTTTGCTCATGCATATTCCAAGGCAGAGACATATTTGCTAGTTAAAGGAACAAGATCTAAATGCCTATCATTTTTTTATCTAGATGTAGATTTTATATCACACCATTTATAACCGCTGTATAAGAATGAGACCCAAATAAGCCTTAGGGCCTGTTCGGTTACCTCGGAATGGACACCTTAAACGATTCTCAGCCGAAACGATGATCTAATTTATATAACATTGATCAGCAGGAATAATTTCTGGCCTCATTACGTACTTACCGAACAGGCCCGTAGTGGTTGCGAAGTAGGAGTATTTTTATTTTGGTGGCTGCTTGTTTCCGTGTTGGAATTGGGATAAGATAGGTCCATCCTCCATGTAAAGGCATGCGTGCCGCGCCCTCCAAGTCAGTACCCTTCAATAATTAGCACGGCATATCATATACTGATCTTGGCTGTCGTTATAAGAAGAGGTATGGTGATCTGGCAGCTTAACTAAACAAGAAGATCGAGGTAGTAGGTGACGAATGATCGATACTAGAAGAATGGAGCAAGTATATATAAATAGAGGTACACTGCTCGTTACGTTCTTACTGGAAAAGGACCACTCTAGCTAGTTTAGCAGATCTTCTCGAGTGCCAACCAGAGTTTGTTTCGTGCGCACGTTTGTGTGTCAATGGGGAAGGGCAAGCGGCGTAAGTGTAACAAGGTCAAGGCCAGGGCCAATCAGAGGAGCGAGCTGCCCGCCGGGCCGACGAGCGTAAACGACCTCCCCGACGAGCTCCTCGATGCGGTCCTCCTCAGCATCGTCTCTTCGCTCCACCTCATCCGTGCTGCGGCCACGTGCAGGCGCTGGCGCCGCGCCATTGCCGACGCGGGCTTCCTGGCTCGCTCCCGCGCCCTGCACGGCGCGCCGCCCGTCGCCGGCCGCTACTACGTCACGGACAGGCTACCTCCGAACGCGACGGGACGGTGGGGCCGGCCGGCGAAGAAACCGGCAGCCTTTCTGCCCTCATCGCCGGCTGTCGTCGACGCGGGCCACTTCTCCCTCGACTTCCTATACGTTCCGCCGGTCGACGGTGATAGCGCACGCACCATGTACTACAACTGTTCCAGCCGTATACGGCATAGCCGGAGCAGGGAGATCATCGACAGCCGCGGCAGCCTCCTCCTCCTGACCAGTGGGCCGTGGTGGGAGTCCATAGACCCCAGGCGCTGGTCACCTGACTTCATCGTATGCGAGCCCGTGACACGGAGATATCAGGGCATCGCGCGCCCGGCCGACCTCAGCCACCTCTGGTACCTCGGCGCCTTTCTGTTCGATGGCGGCGGGGCCGGCGACGCCATGTCCAACTTCAGGGTGCTCTCGGTGCTCTATGAGCGCGGCAGGTCACACTACCAATTCTGCGCGCCACGGGCGTGCGTGTTTACTCCAGGTAGCGACGGCGGGTGGCGCATTTGTTGGCACACCATGGACGACGACGGAGTTGAAGTCCCAGTCCTCCCGAACATGGAGACGATTCACTTTGCTGGGCGAACCGCCGGGAAGGTCTACTGGGGGATGGAGAGCAGCAGCGTGCTCGTGCTCGACGAGAGCACGCTCAAGTTCTCGCTCCTCACGTTCCCGGCGACTATGCAGTGGCTGTATCGGAGGACCAGCTTCCGTGTCATTGGTGGCGTGGATGGTGGCGACACGATGCGCGTCGTGCGCATGGACGGCGAGGACCTCGAGGTCTTCGGTCAGCTCCTGGACTCCGGCGAGCGGGTTATAGAGAGGAGCATCAGTCTGAGGGACGCGACCGCGAAACTGGCCGGTTGGCAATGCTGGTTCTTTCGGCTGCCGGCGAGGATTGTCACTGCAGGCAATACGTTTGTGGTACTCACGCCACCGGAGAAAACCTGGCTCTTCTCGATAGATCTGGAGACCATGGAGGTGGAAAAGGAGCACGTCAGGAACCGGCACGTCGGGCCATCATACCCGTGCGCGCTGCCATGGCCTCCTGTTCTGCAAGCCTGCGTAAATCATGGCGACGCTACTGGTAAGGCTGTCTCCGACAGGATACATATTAGGAGATCAAACTCAAAATGGTCTCTAACGCAATACTTATAGCCGTCGATAGAGTACTTATACGAAAGATCTATTTTAGGTGTCAGGAAATGTATAACCTAAACCTAAATATGAGTATCCTCTCTCCTAAAGACCTATTTATAGAAAATGTTATCTTTTAGTCTTATTGTTGGAGAAGAAAAAAAAAATAAGTATATGAAATGAATCTTTTATTTTAGATAACGGTTGTTATTGAGAGTTTTAGAGAAGACACGAGACAACGCCGTAGCCCGTAGGTGTGGCTGTTGGCGACAAAATTGAGCCAATAATTCATGTACCTGCCACATTGTACGACCTAGCATTATATTACCGTTCAATGCAACCGGCTCAAAGGTTCCTTTTCCAATTTGTTTATGTACTTGTGTTCTTGTATCTATATCTTATACTATAAAAAACGAAGAAATTAAAAAAATACTTGTCACCAAAAAAACATCTTACCCATCTAAGATCTTCATCATTAGATTTAGTTCTAACGCATCTGATTAGGTTGTTAACTATGAGCCCGACGTGTTTCCTGACACCCTGATCTATATATGCTATAAAGGAGCGAAGAAATTAGAAAATACTTGTTACCAGAAAACATCTTACCCATCTAAGATCTCCACCATTAGATTTAGATCTAACGCATCTGATTAGGTTGTTAACTATGGGCCCGAGGCGTTTCCTGACATATGAAACGCGTGTTCCCTGAAGGAACGCTTGACTCGAGTCCAAAGTTTTTACACCGGGAAAGTTTCTTACCCGCCTCACGTACCCGCTTCTGCCGCGCTTCATCGCCCCATCCGCATACCCACACCCGCGGTACCCGCGCCCCGTGGCCAATCAATCCCCCTCAATGCATCTGCTTCTCCATCCGCGTAGCCAACCCCGCCCTTTCCATCCACACCGCCTCCTCGCCATGCCACCACCAAACCGCCGCCCCGAACCACGCCGTGGCTTCCAACCTCACCCTCTCTGTCACCCCGCTCCGCTAGGCCCAGGCCCCCACCAAACGCGCGATGGCGAGGTGGTGGCTAGAGAAGGACATCGATGTGGACGAACACGCCATATCAGCCTTCCCATGCATCGCTCTGCGGCGTCGGCCTCCTCGCGGCCCCTTCCCGCGTCCTCTGCCTCGCCGTGGGTGCCGGCCACGATGTCGACGTGCTCCGCTCGGCTGGAACTAGGGATGCCACAGGGATCGACCTTGTCGACTTCCCGCCGCTCGTCCACCGTATGGATCCCCACTACCTCCCCTTCTCCGATGGCGCCTTCGACCTCGTGTTTTTAGGATGACCCCTCGGCGATCCCCGGCGCGCTCTTCCCATCCCGCCTCGCGAGTGAGGCTGAGCCGCCGTCTGCCGTGGTGGCGGCATTGCGCTCACATTCGACCGGGAGATCGAGACCGCCGCCGTCACCACACTATTCAAGAGATCGCACGTCGTGGATGTAAAGGATGTCACCTTGAATGGCTCCCAGGTTAGGCTGATGATCATGCAGAGTAATGGCACTGCTTCTGACCCATATTGATCTGTGTTCAGTCGCTTCGTGTATTATCATATCCCAGTGATGCTACGCATACCCAATGAACCTTAGGAAGGTAGTTGTGAATATGAATTATGATCAGTAAAGACGATGGTCCAGAAAAATACAAAAATTGTTCGATATTATTGCCTGCTTTGCTGTGTAGTACTGCAGTTCATCCATGGTGTTTCTTGGCCATACCATGTTATGCTTCTGCAAACTCCTCGCTCCAGAATTAGACTACTTTTTATCAACACAATTGTGCTAAGTGCTATTTATACTTGGGAAAGCACAATGCATAACCAAATATCCTCTCTGGCCCTGAGTCATTGGACAACTTGACTGCTTGAGAGCCCCCCATGCTACTTCAGAATTGTGAGTATTTCTAAACATGGAATGCACCCCAGTGTAAATTCCTGAAGGATATATGTGCCCCTCTATTGACATTTGATTGTTCTTTTCTTCTATAAGTTGTGGTATATATCGAATCGACAGCAATCACCAAAACAAAGCATTGTAAATTTTCGGTAATGCAGATGCTTCCTAAGAACTATTTATATGCAGCCTGTTAGACGAGATCCTGGCTAAATGGCTGCTTGACAGATGCGACGGTCTAGCTAGCTAAGTGATGACGATTAACAAGTGCATCATAGAAACGATATGTCTGTTATTATTATTTTTTGTATGTGCGAACCTAATCTGGTAATTGTTTGGTTAATGTACATCTGAGTTTTGTTAACAGGTGTTTCAAACAACAGCTATAGGCTTGGGGCAGTCAACTTGTGTAGGCATTGGTGGTGACCCGTTCAATGGCACAAATTTTGTTGATTGCCATGAAAAGTTTGTTTCAATGGCACAAATTTTGTTGATTGCCTCGAAAAGTTTGTTGATGACCCTTAGACAGAAGGTACACCATTTGAGATTAAGGCCTCATATTTTATTAAGCAAAAGCCTTCCTTTTCTAAATCTATTATGAAATATTTCTTCCAAGATTCTGTACTCTTCTCTGTGTCATTAATTCCTTATGTTTGGCATTTTGCTTATGAAAGATGTGCACTAATTTTGACAGTAGAGTGTCATGGTGAGTGTTAGCAATAGTTATCTCTTGTGTTAGAATAGGCGCCTAAGGGGCCTGCTATGGGCCGGCACCAAGCCTGTTCGGCTGGTAGCCTAGGGGCTGTTAGAGTATTAGGAATAGTACCACATTGCCTAATCATGTGAGATGTTAGTCCCATGTACTCTATATAATCAGCCCATGAGGCCCAATGCAATATATCAATATTCCTCCAATTATATTCTCTTTCATGGTATCAAACTAGGTTAGGTCTTCCGCTGCCCAACCCACCCACGCGCACCGGCACCAGCCGCGCAGCGCCCTCGCGCGCCGGCAAACAACCGCGCAGCCGCCCATGGGGTCGTCCTCTTCACCAACCCCCAAGGGCGACGACGATAGCTCCGCCACCTCGCTCCAGGGTGACGAGGTCGCTCGGCGCCTCGCCAATGAGCAGGCCAATGGCAAGCCGTCACCACATCAGCCAGCACCGAGCAACAAAGCCAAGGAGCGAGACGACGCCGCATAGCTGCTGCGCCAGCGGGCCTTTGATGCAAGACGGGGCCATGGAACACGCAGCCGCCACTGCTGCACTCGCACCTGAGCCATCGGGCGGCGCCTCTCCACCGCCTGGAGGCGCCTCTACGCCAGTCGATCTCCGAGCGGCCATGCTCCACCACAAGGCCGTGGCGCTGCTCCAGCTTCACTCCCAGGCTGTCGCCGTCAGCAACATCCGGAACCATGTCACCTCCGTCCTCAACGTCGACTCCGGTAACTTCAACCGTTGGTGCGATCAATTCCTGCTCATCCTCGGCAAGTTTTCGCTTCAGGGCCATGTTCGCGAAGAGCCTCCAGTCCCAATTTCCCCCGATTGGGCCCGAATGGACTGCGTTGTCAAGTCTTGGATCATCGCCACGCTCACGGACGATCTTGGCGAGATCATCCGTGCCCAGGGCTCCACAGCTCGTCACGCCTGGCTCGCCGTCGAGTCGCAGTTCCTCGGAAATCGGGAGGCCCGCTCCATTCAGCTGGAGACGCAGTTCTGCAACTTCGTCCAAGGCGACCTCTCCGTCACCGATTTCTGCCGCAAGCTGAAGAAGATGGCCGATGATCTCACGGCCCTCGGCGAGGTCATCACCGACCGCACCCTCATCCTCAACGTCATCCGTGGCTTCAACGAGCGCTTCGCCCACGTAGGCACCCTACTACGCCGTGCCAAGCCCTTCCCCACGTTCCTGGAGGCCCGTGAGGACCTCATCCTCGAGGAACTCACCATGGCAAACCACAAGGAGACTCCAAAGAACTGCCCTTGCTGCCACACTACGACTCCTACAGCAGCTCCTCCTTCATCCAACACCGGTTCGGAGGCGATGGCGGGGGCTCCAAGCCTTCAACAACCGCCCGCAACAAAAGGGCGGCGGCAAAGGTCGGCAGCAGCGGCTCTTCAGATGTGGGTTCCAAGGCTCCTACCGGCAACAACCAAGAAGCAGAAGTCAGCCGGACACAGCAAGCAGCAGGTCGGGCCGGAGCGGGCGCCTTGGCTGAGCTTCTACAACCCCTAGTCCTGCTCCATCCAGATGTGGCGAGGGGCCCTCGACCACCTCGCGCCCATCCATCCTGGGCCTCCCTAATCTCCAGTAGCAGCCGGCAGGCGCGACACCAAGAGGCAAAGAACAGCCCTCGCCACGCTCGCCCGGAAGAAGCAGCAGATGTGGCGATCGCTTGTTGCTACCCACCAAAGAAGTCTGCCGGTCGATGGTCGCTGGGGTATTATAACCCTATGACCGGTCTCCTCCTAGGACCCGGCGGACCTCGCGCGGCGTTATTCAACACGACGTCGCTGAACCCCTCCTTCAACAATGAGTGGTACTTCGACTCAGTGTGCTTCTTCACACATGACAGATTCGGTCTTCTTCCCTTTCACATACTCAACCTTCGCGTACCCTAACCCTTCATCTATTATTGTCGGTAATGGCTCCTTATTCATGTCATTGCCACTGGCTCCACAGAGTTATCACCTTCTCTACGTCTTAATAATGTTCTTGTGTCGCCACAAATTATTAAGAATCTTATCTCTGCTCGCCAATTCACTATTGACAATAATTGTTCTGTTGAGTTTGACCTCACCGGTTGTTCTGCGTGAAGGTTCTTCCGCCTCGGAAAGAGATCATCAGTGTAATAGCTCCGCCACTGCACTCCACTTCGCCTTCCACTAGCACTCTCCTTTGCCGCCGTGGCTCCTCTCCACCGTGGCATCGGCGCCTTGGGCATCCCGGTCATGAGGCCTTGTCAAAACTAGCGTCTAGTGTGTCTTTTTCTATTCGTGATTGTTCAGATTTATGTCATGCTTGTCGCCTAGGACGCGTCATGTTCGCTAC